TTTTTTTTTTTTTTTTTTTTTAATTATTTTTTTAATTACGGCAGTTTTAGCTGTCACAAGAATTGTCAACATAATTGACTTCCACACATACCTCCGTTCCCATTTCCAATTTCAATTTTAAAATTATTTCAAAATTTTCGTAACAAATTTTGAAAAATTAATTAATTTTTTTCTTGACAGATCCAGATCCAGAAAACCCGATTATCCAAATGGCCCAAGAACAATCTCAAATCTCTCTCTATATATATAATCGTCGTCTCCGTTCTCTTCGCTCCAAGTCTAATCCGAGTCTTCTCTTCTCTGATTGAAGCTTCTGCTACTCTGAAATTGGTTAACAATGGCGGAAGCTTCGGTAAAACCCACTCCCTTTTGAAAGATGAACTCGATATCGTCATCCCTACCATCCGGAACCTCGATTTCTTGGAGATGTGGAGACCGTTCTTCGAGCAATACCATTTGATCATCGTTCAAGATGGTGATCCTTCGAAGACCATTAAGGTCCCTGAAGGATTCGATTATGAACTCTATAATCGGAACGATATCAATCGGATTCTTGGTCCGAAGGCCTCGTGCATTTCGTTTAAGGATTCTGCTTGTCGATGCTTTGGATATATGGTTTCCAAGAAGAAGTACATCTACACAATCGACGATGATTGCTTTGTAAGATCTACTTGATTTTGCTAGTTGACTTTCGTTTTTGAGATTTCTTTTGCTATTTGTTGATGGCCATTGTTTATGAGATCTAACTGTTTGTCGAATTGCCTTGACTTGATTTTGGTTTGGTTTTTTGATATTCTTGTTTTGTGTTCTGAGTTCTGGTTTGTGTGGTTAAATCCATTTTGTTCTTGCAAATTATGAACAGATATTGGATTTGTATATGTTAGTGGAGGAACAGATCTTGTGGAAATGCTTGTTTGTTTGAAGAAGTTCTCCTGTTCTTGAGATTATAGCTTTCTTTCAATGAGTCCTATATTGTGAGATCCTATGTCCGTTGGGGAGGAGAACGAAACATCCTTTATAAGGGTGTGGAAACTTCTTCCTAGCAGATGCGTTTTAAAAATCTTAAGGGAAAACCCGAAAGGGAAAGCCCAAAGAGGACAGTATTTGTTAGCGGTGGGATTATGTCGTTACACATACAGTCCATTTATGTTCTGATCAATGATATTAGAAAGGTGTAGGGGTACCTAACCAACCAGCTTTAGCTTTTGAGTTTAATGGTTGTTTAGCGGATGATTCGACGTTCTAGGACCGTCGAGTTTACTTGTAAATGTTACTGATGCTAAGTAGTTGAGAAGTTCTTGTAACTGATATAGTGAACATGGGAAGATTTTGATTCATTTTCATATTTACAAAGATGGTCAAATTTTGATGGATTCTTGTGAATCTGTCGTTGCAGGTTGCGAAGGACCCGTCGAACAAGGATATCAATGCGCTCGAGCAGCACATAAAGAACCTTCTATCACCAGCCACACCAAATTTCTTCAACACTCTGTATGATCCATACAGAGAAGGTGCAGATTTTGTGCGTGGATACCCTTTCAGTCTTCGTGAGGGTGTCCCGACCGCAGTTTCTCATGGACTCTGGCTTAACATTCCTGACTACGATGCTCCAACGCAGCTCGTCAAGCCTCGTGAAAGGAACTCTAGGTCAGTGTGATTCCTGCCGTGCTTCGCTTCATTTTTAGACTCGACTTCCATGCTCGCTTTATTGAGATGTTCTCTGTAAACCTTGTTTAGGTATGTAGATGCAGTGTTGACAAT